ATCTCATCCAGGGTCTTCCTCTCCTGAGCTGTCCCTCCAGCCTTCTGAGTATGATGTTCTTCCCTAAGGACACATACCCAAAGAGGCCACATGCCCAAAGTATGTGAAGCAGAGCTTCAAAATCCTAGCCTCTAAGGAGAAACTTGGTTTCACCCTCTACAAGACAGACCTATTTGTTTTCTTGGAAGTCCATGGTATGTTCAAGGCTCTTCTCCAGCACTACAACTCAAAGGAATCAATTCTTCTTGTCATCCTTAGTTATTTTCCAGCTCTCTGATGCATAGTAAGTAGTTGTGAAGACGGAGGTCTGGATCAGGCACATCTTAGTCTCTAGACTGACATTGTTGCTTCTCAGTACTCTGGAGAGGTCCCTGGCATCAGATTTACCTAATGCAATTCACCTTTTGATTTCCTGACTGCTGGTGCCAAGAATGTTGACTGTGGAACCCAACAAACTGTAATTGTTAACAACCTCACTCTTTTCTCCATCCGTCAAGGTGCTGCTAAATGGTCCAGTGGTGAGAATCTTTGTCTTCTTGATGTTGAGTTTTAATCCAGACTGAAGACGTCCTTGACATTCAGTAGCAAGCACTTCAGGTCTTCCTAAGTTTCAGCAAGCAAGGTTGTGTCTGCATAATATAGGTTGTTGATGAGTCTTCATCCAATCCTGAATGCTCATTCTCCCAAATGATCTGTTCTGCCTATAGATTGAAAAGATATGAGGACAGAACATATCCCTGACACACTCTCTTCCTGATTTTGAGCAGCGTTTCCCTGTTCTGTTTTGATGACTACTTCCTGGTCCTAGTATGTTGTTGTTGTTATGTGCCGTCGAGTCGTTTGCGACTCAAAGCGGCCCTATGTACAACAGCCCTAAACCCTGCTCGATCCTGTGCCAATCGCATGGCCTCTGACACATCCATCCCGATTACCCCAGTCACCGAATCAATCCACCTCATAGAGGTTCTTCCCCTCCTGCACTGTCTCTCTACCCTACCAAGCATGATGTCCCTCTCCAAGGACATCTCCTTACAACATGTCCAAAGTCTCTCCTTACAACATGTCCAAAGTATGTCAGATGAAGCCCCAGAATCCTTGCCTCCAAGGAGTAGCCTGGTTTAACCTCTCTAGGATGAATCTGTTTGTTTTCTTGGCAGTCCATGGTATATTCAATACTCTTCTCCAGCACCACAGCTCAAAGGCGTCAATTCTCCTTCTATCCTCCCTAGTCATTGTCCAACTCTCTGATGCATAACCAGTGATTGCAAAGACCTGGTATAGGTTTCACATAAGCACAATCAAGTGTTCTGGGATTTCCATTCTCCTCAAAGTTAACCACAATTTGTCATGATCCACAAAGCCAAATGCCTTTGCATAGTCAGTTAAACACAGATATCCCTTTGGTACCCTTTGCTTTCTGAGAAGATGCATCTGACAATGGCAAAAAATGTCTCTAGTGTCATGACCTTTTCTAAATCCAGCTTTTATTTCTGATAGTTCTCTATTCCAGTCATTTCTGGGTAATCTTCAGCAAGATTTTGCTTGTATGTGTTATGAATGATATTTTACAATAATTTCCACACTCTGTTGAGTCTTTTTTTTCCCCATGGGAATAAATATGGATCTCTTCCAGTCAGTTGGCCAGGCAATTATCCTCCAGATTTCTTGGCACAACCTGGAAATTCAGACTCCACACTCTCTGCCTTCAAAGGTAGCTTTGAATATCCTGTCACTAACTTTCAAAAGAAGTTTCTATGGGAAACTGCATGAATTGAATAACTTACACACAAATATGAATAAATACCACTGACATTGGTATTACAGCCACTGTAGAAATGGTTTGACTATAGACAACTGTTGTAAACGACCCTTTATATAAGACAGAAACAAAACATTGAAAACGTCTGACTCCTGAAACATGACTGAGGCAAATTGCATAAATTTTGGTGATTTATGCAAATACGAGATGAGTAGAAAGCAGTTAACATATGGGCTTTTCAAGGTACCTCAGCCTCGGGGACCCTGGGAATCTATGAGAGAAGTGTGGAAATTTCAAAGTTTCAGAGATGTCTGAAGAAGCACTCTCTAATGAAAATAATAATTTTAATTCCTTTTCAGTTCAACATAGAAGGTGTGCTAAACTTCACATTACAATAGGGAGAATAATTTGGTCTTAAAAGTAGTGACTTTGACCTAGTCTGAAAATTAAAGTCCTTTGGTTAGAAAGTGAAACAAATGACTTCCTCTAAAAGTCTCTCCTGATTGGAGAAAAACCACGTCAGATGTGTTTCTTACCTGCCTTACCAGACGTATCAGATTACATTTGGTGAAATAATGTGTATAAGAAAAGGGCATAGCCTGATTTATCTCTATAATGCACTTAAGACTATGAATATCTAGTGTTAAGCTAGTATGCAGAAATCAACAAAACTAATGGTCCTTTGGCAATTGTAGTTGGAACTATTAAAAAGTAAAAATAAATGTTTCATTTCAAAGACATAACAATTGTTGGTTTCTTAAAATAAATCTGAGGGGGAAAAGTTGAGTATGTATTACACAATGTTTTACACAATGTATTTGAGTTATTAGGAACTGCACTTAAAAACTACCTTTTCTTAAATTCATCTTGTAGTTGCTAGTATGTACTTCATGCAATGCTTCAGCATGGAGTTTGCTAGTGTCTTTCATAGATGATCAGGGGCAAATGTTCAGTTTATTATTTATAGAACATTGACAATGAAAGGTTTAAGTTTAAATGAGGCATACCAGACAATACCTCTACAATCAAGCCAGATTTATTAAGCAAGGCCAAAGAGGGCTCATCTTGAGCAAGCAAGAAGAGTAATAGGACAAAGTGTGCGTGTGTGTGTGTGTGTGTGTGTACTGTGAATGAGGTGTGGAGTGGGAGGGGTAGGGGGTTAGAAGGGGTGGGGAGCTTGAAGGGGTGGGGAGGTGAGGGGGCTGGAGGGTGGGAGGTGCATGGAATTGAAAGTGGAGAAAATTCCTTTGGAGAAGAGGATTCAGTAGGCCTTTCTGTGAGGCCAGAAATAGATGGAAAATGGTTCTGCAGACTATGACCTAGCATGTCCACTGTGGCCTAACCAAAGGCAATGATAATGAGTAAAATGTGGTATTTTACCCGAATCAAAGCCAATTTACTAAGGAGTCATCAGAATGAAATTGGCTGATGGGCTAACTGGTAAGGAGTTGCACTGCAAACCCAAAGTCATGCTGTTGGGGCCAGCAGCTGCTCCCATATAGGTGATCTCTCTTGGTATTTACAGTCTCTGAAAATTTGCCGGAGGCCAGCTATGAGTTGATTCTGACTTTAGAGCACATAACAAAAACAATGTTTTGTTGTTGTTGTTATGTACCATCGAGTGGGTTGCGACTCATAGCGACCCTATGTACAACAGCCCTAAACCCTGCTCTATCCTGTGCCAATCGCATGGCCTCTCACACACCCATCCCGAATACCCTAGTCACTGAATCAATCCACCTCATAGAGGGTCTTCCTCTCCTGCACCATCCCTCCACCCTCCCAAGCATGATGTCCCTCTCCAAAGACCTGTCTCTCCTTACAACATGTCCAAAGTATGTCAGATGAAGCCGCAGAATCCTTGCCTCCAAGGAGTAGCCTGGTTTAACCCTCTCCAGGATGAATGTGCTTGTTTTCTTGGCAGTCCAGTGTACATTCAATACTCTTCTCCAGCACCACAGCTCAAAGGCGTCAATTTGCCTTCTATCCTCCCTAGTCATTGTCCAACTCTCTGATGCATAACAAGTGATTGCAAAGACCATGGCCTGTATCAGGCGCACCTTAGTCTCCAGAGAGACACCACTGCTCTTGAGTACTTTAGAGAAGTCCCTAACTGCAGACTTTCCCATCACAATACGTTTTTTGATTTCCTGGCTACTGGTGCCAAGAGTGTTGACCGTGGAGCCGAGCAAACTGAAGCTGTGAACAATTTCAATCTCTTCGCCATCCATCCTGATGTTACCGATTGGTCCAGTGGTGAGAATCTTTGTCTTCTTGACATTGAGCCTCAGTCCATATTGAAGGCTGCGGTCCTCCTCAGTTTCAGTGAGCAGGGTTGTGTCATCTGCATGACACAGATTGCTGATAGTTTGTCCACCAATCCTAACACCACGCTTTCTCCTCATAGAGTCCAGCTTCTCGGATAATCTGCTCTGCATACAGGTTGAAAAGGTATGGAGTGTACGCAATCAAAATAAAACAAAACAAACCCAAAACCCAAAATTGAAATATTATGAAATACTTCACGCTATCAATTCTGAATACAATGAAGTGAATTGACAATGACAAAGCTAGTATTATGTGTACATTTGTTAAGAATACTTCTATGTATAGTCATTTGAACTTTGATAAATAATGAAAGTTATAGAAAGAATTCAGGCCTTTTGTCATAGGGTCACTGTTAGTCATGCTCATGGTCGACTCGACGATGGCAAACAACAAAAACAAAGTAATTTGTATTTATACTTTATTGTTTAGCTTTTGTGATAATTGTCTATCATGATTAAACTAATTAGTATTAAGGAATTGTAGAGTAAAAATATTGAGTTAAAAAAATCATGTTATTTGAATTGTTTACAACAATAAAATGTTTTTTTATAAAAGCTCTAGAATTTAAGTCAACTAAAGCCAGGATTTAAAGTTTTCTATAATTCCCAATTTCTTTTCCATATTTAAAACCAAATGCAAATATATTGTCCTACATCTGATCTGTTCTGACTCATGGTGACCCCTCATGAGTAGACCTGCTCCATCAGGTTCTCTTGGATAAACTCTTAGTGAAATAGATTGTTACCAGATCTACCTTAGGTTAGTGTTCAAGGAAGAAGTGTCCATCAGAGAACTTTTGACATTTAAGAGCATCAGTATATGTAAAGAATATGTGAATAAAAAACAAAAGTCACTTTACCTCATAGATTTTACAGGAATATGGGAAAAAGTAACATTGTTTCTTATGTTGTAGATATACAAAGATGAAGACAGCAACCAACATTTACATCTTTAACCTGGCTCTGGCAGATGCTTTAGTGACAACAACTATGCCCTTCCAGAGCACGGTGTACCTGATGAACTCCTGGCCATTTGGGGATGTCCTGTGCAAGATCGTCATCTCCATCGACTACTACAACATGTTCACTAGCATATTCACCTTGACCATGATGAGTGTGGACCGCTATATCGCGGTGTGCCACCCTGTCAAGGCACTGGATTTTCGTACACCTTTGAAGGCAAAGATCATCAACATTTGTATCTGGCTTTTGTCGTCATCTGTGGGCATATCTGCCATAGTCCTTGGAGGCACCAAAGTCAGAGAAGGTGAGTGATAGGGTCACTAGCAAATACAGGGGTACAGGCTACCCAGGGTGACACTGTTAGAAGAGATGACATTAAAATGACTGTGTATTACATTTTTGTTCAATGATTCAGCAAAAGTTGGGTTGTTTGGTTTTTTTTTTGTTTGTTTTGTGTGTGTGTGTGGGTTTTTTGTTTGTCTTTTTTTTAAATAAACAATATTGCTGCTCTTGTATGCCAGAGTCAACTCCAACTGGTAGGACCTCTAGATTCGGCAGGTTGAGGCTCTGCATGCTCCTACATTATCTTGACACTCCCTGAGGTTTAAGCATATAGTAAGTCACTGTGTGAATCCATCTCATTGAGGGTCTTCTTTTTCACTTATCATCTGCTTTTCCCAGCATGATGTCTTTTGCTAAGGACTGACCTCACTTACAGCAAAATTCCACCGTCCTTGCTTCTTCCAAAAGAGGTCTTTTTGTTCTTTTTGCAGTCATATTCCTCTACTTGTCTATGTTGTTGTAGTTGTTATGTACCATCAAGTCACTTGGGGCTCATAGCAACTCTATCTATGTACAAGAGCCCCTAAACCCTGCTCTGTCCTCTGTCAACCTCACCGTCTCTGACACACCCACTCCCATTACTCCAACCACTGAATCGATCCATCTCATCCAGGGTCTTCCACTCCTGCCCTGTTCCTCCACTCTCCCAAACATGATGTTCCTCTCCAAGAAATGGTCCATCCTTGCAACATGCCCGAAATCTGTCAGATGAAGCTTCAGATTCCTTGCCTCCAAGGAGCCTGTTTTCACCCTCTTCAAGACAAACCTGTTTGTTCTCCTAGCAGTCCATGGTATTTTCAATACTCTTCTTAAGCTCCACAGCTCAAAGGCATCAATTCTCTATTATCCCTAGTCACTGTCCAGCTCTCTGATACATAGCACACAATTGCAAAGACTATGGCCTGGATCAGGCGCATCTTAGTCGCCAGCCTGATGCTGTTGCTCTTCAGTACTCTGGAGAGGTCCCTGACAGCTGACTTTCCTAATGCAATTCATCTCTTGATTTCTTGGCTGCTGGTACCAAGATTGTTTACTGTGGAGTCAAGCAAACTAAAACTGTTAACTTTCTCAATCTCTTCACCATCCATACTGATACTGTCAGTTGGCCCAGTGGTGAGAACCTTTGTATTCTTGATATTGAGCTTCAATCTGTATTGAAGGCTATAGTCCTTGACCTTCTACAGCAAGTGCCTCAGGTCTTCCTCAGTTTACGCAAGTAGGGTTGTGTCATCTGCATAACTCAGATTGTTGATGAATCTTCCTCCAATCCTGATGCCAGCATCCTTGATCCAGCATCCTGGATGATCTGTTCTGCATACAGATTGATAAGGTATGGAGACAGTATACATCCCCAGTGGACGTCCTTCCCAATTCTGAACCATGTAGTGTACCCTTGCTCTGTTCTGATGACTTCCTCTTGGTTCAAGTATAGGTTTCACATAAGCACAATTAAATGATCTGGGATCCCAGTCTTCTCAGAGTCAGACACAGTTTGTTATGATCCACACAGTCAAACGCCTTTGCATAGTCAATGAAGCACAGACAGACATTCCCCTGGTATTCTCTGCTTTCTGCCACAATCCATCTAACATTAGCTGTAATATCCCTAGTACCACAACCTCTTCTAGTTCCAGCCTGCACATCTGGCAGTTCTCTGGTGATGTCTTGTGCCATTCGTTTTTGGATAATTTTCAGCAGAATCTTGATTGCATGTGATATTAATGATATTGTTTGATAATTTCCACACTCTTCCAGGTCACCTTTCTTTGGAATGAGAACAAATATCGATCTCTTCCAGTCAGTTAGTCAGGTGGTTGTCCTCCAGATTTCTTGACACAACTTAGCACATCCATGGTAGCATCTGTTTGCTAAAATATGTCAACTCCTGGGGCCTTGTTTTTTTCCAATTCTTTCAGAGTAACTTGAACTTCCTCTTTCATCACCATAGGCTCTTGCTCAAACATTATTTCAGGAAATTCTTCTGTGTCAGCCAATTCCTTCTGGTACAGGGACTCTCTATATTCCTTCCATAAGAAGAAAAATATTTTTCACAAGTCCAGCTTAAGTGTGTTAATATATCTACCCAGCTAAAACTGTAGACTCATTTATTTTTTGAATCTTCTAATATATCCTGGACAGAGCTGTTGTTATCACTCAATCATAATAATACTTCAAATCACATAGCTGCATGCTACAAGCATTTATTATTGTTCAAATAAGTCACTGATTTGGCCAAATTTCCTAGTATTTTAGCTACAACATTGTGGTAAGTCACATTTTTTTAACTTATATCAGTAACTTTTTGGAAAATAATACAAGTTAAAGAATTATAAATAGATGAAAATGAGAAGAATCTTAAAAGATTTCTGCTCAGTTGTTGGTAATTTTGTAACTAATTCTGTTATAATTTAAGTGGAAAAACTTTTACAGAATAACTTGGTAGTTATTTTCAAGTGTCATCAAATAAACTATAGCTCATAGTGATCCTATTAGCAACAGATCTGAACATTGTCTTATCCTGTGCCATTTTCATCATTTCTGATAGTACGTGATCCCAATGATACTGTCACTGTGTCAATTCACCTTGCCAGGATCTTTCTTTCTCTATTATCCTCCATCCTTCCAAACAACATGTTTCTTTCCAAGAACTGACCTCTTCTAACAACATGCCCAAAGTATGTGAGATGAAATTTCACCATCCTTGCCTGGTTTTCTCCAAGATATATTTATTTGTTCTTTTAGTAGTCCATGGGATATTCAGCACTTTTTTCTAACACTGTAACTCAAAGATATCAATTCTTCTTCTAAAATCCTTATTCCTTGCCCAACCTTCAGATGCATAGCGAGTAATTGAAAAGACCATGGTTTGGAGCAAGTCCACATTGGTCTCTAAATTGGCATCACTGGTCCTTAGATCTTTGGAGAAGTCATTTACAGAAGATTTTTCAAATGCAAGATGTGTTTTGACTTTATGACTGTTGTACTCTGGGTATTGATTGTGGATCCAAATAAGATGTAATAGTTGACAAGTTTGGTCTTTTCTCTATTTATCATGATGTTACCTATTGGTCCAGTTGTTGTTGTGTTGTTGTTAAGTGCCATCGAGTCACAGGTGACTCATAGCAACCCTATGAATGAAAGTCCTGGACATCTTGTGTGTAACTTTCACCCTTTCTCCAGGTTCATAGGGTTTCCAGAGGCAAGCTATTGTGGACGTGTATGCGACTCCTGCTTCCAAGCTTGTTTTAATGAGGGAGCTTCACCAAACACTGTCCACCATGTGTAACCATTCTTGCATTTGACTCTTCAGTGTCACAGTGTTCGGCTTCACAGCAACCACGAGTTACCTCTCTACAGCAAGTGGACATACCCGGGTTATACGACCTAGAAGAATGTTTCACCAAAAACAGTTAAAGGCAGGGCTGAGGGCCGCAGGGTAGACTCACCCACCTTTGGCTTGGGAGCATGGCTTTATGTCCTCTCGGCTAACTACTTGCTCATGCTTGCACGCTCTCTCTCTCTCTCTCTCTCGCTCTTGCTCTCTCTCTCTCTCCTGTTATTGTTGGTGTTGTTAAGTGCCATCGAGTTGCAGGCGAATGAAAGTCCTGGACACCTCCTGTGTAACTTTCATCCTTTCTCCAGGTTCATAGGGTTTCCAGAGGCAAGCTATTGTGAAAGTGGATGCCACTCCTGCTTTCAGGCTTGTTTTAATCAGGGAGCTTCACCAAACACTGTCCAGCATGGGTAACCATTCTCGCATTTGACTCATCAGTGTCACAGTGTTTGGCTTCACAGCAACCACAAGTTATTGGTCCAGTAGTAAGGATTTTGTTTTCTTTATGTTGAGATAAAATCCATATTGAGGGATAGAGTCCTTGATCCTCTGCAGCAAGTATTTCAAGTCCTCTTCACTTCATTGATGCCAGATGGACCATTCCTAAAAGCAGAGAATGCCGGAAGAATGTCTATATTTTATATTTTTATTATATTTTAAGAATGCCTGTCTTATTGAATATGCAAAGGGATTTCACTGTGTAGATCATAACAAATTATGGATAACATTGAGAAGAATAAGAATTCCAAAATACTTAATTGTTCTTATGCGAAACCTATACCTAGACAAAAAAGCTGTTGTCTGAACAGAGTAAGAGAACATTGCATAGCTTAAAGTCAAAAGTATGTGTTTCAGAGCTGTATCCCTTCTCCGTTTTGTTAATATTAATATAATTTGAGAAATAATGTAGTGAAACAATTCATAACAAAATTTATCACCTATTATTTTCAGGTAAAATTGATAGCAAATATTACCAAGGATTCTATATAGTCTAGAATTGGCTAAAATTGTAGTGGGAGGTGGACACTGGAGAGAGGTACCATCATGAGTCCTGCACAGGTAATACCCACCCTAGTGAAACCACTGAAGGAACAAGTCATTCTTTTCATTCCATGTGTTAATATGTAACTTTAATTGTGAAATTTGTCACAATTGGAGTGAGTAGGACATACACATGTGGGAGGAAGATGTTTCAGGGGAGATTGGCTGCTGTTGGTAATTCTGCTCAGGCTCACAGTGCCTGTGTGCAACAGAAGGAAAAACACTGCTTCTCTTGCGCTTTGCTAGTAACTGCTGGCATGTTTGAGCTTTGTTGCCACCACTGTGCTAGTTCACTCCTTTGAAAGTCTTGCTCTTTTCTACTTACTATTGTTAAAAGTGGAATTTCCTTCTCCAGGGACTTGTCCATTCTGTTAAACTGAATAAGCATGTGAGAAGAAACCACACCATTCTTTGAAGGGACTTTTGCAATGAACTTCCTCTATTACAGACTTGTTCATTTCTCTTACATTCTATGAGATATTTACTATTTTCCACCAATCATATTATTTTACATGTGTATGAGGTGAGTGAAAATATGTATAGAACCAGACTTTGAGGCTAGTCCTCAAAGGAACGTTTTTAACACT